TCGTGACCACAAACTTGCTAAAAGGAATATCGACAGAGGTTGTTAATTAATTGATGGAAAAGGTGCGACTATGATGAAATGGGGAGGAAATTATTACTCTTACCTTTGTACAATGTATAATAGAAGGTGCGGCAAGGATAAAGTCTGATTTAAAATTTAAATAATTTTACTTAAGTTGTATAAATTAAGGATTAATCGTTTTATTCAGCAAAATTGATTCAATAAATTGAAGAAATATTTTGTTTTACATTGGGACTATGATAATGTTTCGAAAAACAAATATTATTATTTTAATTAGATGAATTATTAATCAGTCAACCAATGCTTAACACGAGTAAAATATTATTTGAAATTCCATTAATTATTCTAGAAATGAACTCTATACACGAAATAAACAGAAAAATTTTGTGGTTACGAATCGACATATATGTGAGATATAATTATTGAATTAATTAAAAACACTCAGAAAACATTTTCATACCAGAAATATTACAACAATTTTAATGAAAATAAATTTATTTCGAGAGTTTAAAGTTCATCAACTTCTGAAAGATTGAATCACGAATCTACTATTGTACTTGAAGATTAGAATTGCTGGATTGATTTCTATTGAAAATAACTTTATCCTAGAGTAATCTAGGATTAGAAAGGTCTCTAGTCAAATAAGTTGAATCATTTAAAAAGAAATAAAAAAGAAGTGAAAATGTTAAACTAAAAAAGGACGATTTTTCCCTGATTATCTTCAATATGATTAAATAGGGTTAATCCAAAATCTAAACTCGAAGGGTTCAAGTACTTTAAAACGTATCAGAGAGGGAAATGTGTATTAACATCAGTTGAACTGTTCTCAAGATATCATTAGTCTGAATATATTTTTGAAGAACCATCCGAAAATGTCTGTTTAACATTTTGATTTTCTCTTAATTTTTTCCTCTCAATAAATTAATTCATTTCTCCAATGACATCAATCAATGTTCATTCATTTTATTTTTCTCTTGAAAAATATTTTTCTTCAACTGGACCAGAATCAGATCTAATCATAATATTAGCTCATCATAAGATATGCTCTAGAATTAACTATCCAGTACGAAATTGAATTATCCCACGTTTGCCTTTTCAACATGTTAAACTAATCTAACATTTATTATCTATTTCACCCGTCATTTCCTCATGTACCATTTCTACCTGACAAATGATAATATTCATGAGGAATATTTATGAAAAGAATAAAATCTTATAATGCATATAATAGTTTTATCTCAGCTCAATCGAAATATTACGTATGTATTTCATGTAAATTCACATATGCAGCAATGCTCTACGTAGCATGCATCATAAAACAGTTTCTACAAGAATCATCTGACTCATGTATTGGTTTATACATAGGGTTGCATGGTATAATTTATCGACATGTTGGCTATAAAAAAGGTCACCGATCTCCTGATGGACTTTATTCATTAATTGTAACCTGGATGCAATCAGTTGATCACTGATTTGCTTTGGCATTTCATTTTATCATTATCACGATGCGATACAATTGTGTATCAATGCAGTAAAATTTTATATTTTTTCTTGATACATAACAAGTGTTCGTCAATGTATTGGAAGCAGTGAATTCGTTGTAGTTGGACGAACTATTGTCAGCTATTGAACAATCCAATATTCAAATGATGCGGCTGAGAGGAAAACCAACCAGAGCTTTTGAGCCGGCCACACTAGTGCGAGTGATTAAAAAAATGATAACAGATATAAATAAATTGATCGAGTTATTATATTATTTATATCTATCAAGGATTCTTATATTATTATTTTATTTTATGTTTTAATTTTCTGATAGATGTTAAGTGGCTTTATCCGATATTACTTGTTATGCACAGCTTGTTGATGAACAAATCAGTAAAATGGTAATGGATTTTTTTAATTACATTTCATAAAATTCTTTATTCCAGTCTGAAATGATTATATAACACTTTATGACATATTTACTTCAGCATTGAAGTTTCTTTTTCGTTACTTTAACGAAGAAATAATTTTTTATGAGGTGTCTGGAAGCGAAAAAATTTACTGACTTATGGATAATTGTTGAAAGTACGATATTAAATGTTGAATTGTTTATTGTGAAAATAAAACAAAAAAATATTAATTAATCATGAGAAGTTCTTGAAATAGATTTCGTAGAATTTTCCAAGTGTAAAGTCAAAGAACGAAATTGGTTTGTCTGTTAGAACGGTGTAATAGTGCTTGTAATAAAGTTCTCTCATCTAAGCATATACCTAGGCTATATTATGCTAACTAAAAATAAACTAATAAGAATCTCTGAGATATTAAAATCTTTTTAAACTCACTTTTACTAAATTATCATTGTTGTGATATATTTTTTATTCTGATAAAATAGATTGTGAAAAAATTTTTCACTGTAATAAATTTTTGTATTAAACTTAGGATTATTTTTAAACAAAATAATATCGAGATTCGTTTTAAAAATCGATTGAATTTTATAATACAATAGATTATATATTGTTATATTTTTATCTTGGTAAAATAGATTGTAATTAATTTTATCCATTTTTATAAATGTGATAAAAATAAACCTCAAAGGAGAATCGTTGTTAAATTCTATTTTGAAAAAAAAAAACAAATAAAAATATGGAATAATTATTATAAAAGTAAAAATTACAATTGTTTATTAACAATTTACGTAAAAAACATTGTTATTTTAGCCAAAATGTAAATTTATATATACACCATTGAAGAATTACAGGAATTATAATTTCAATTTTAATTTTGAATGTTTTAAAATAATTGCGGTATTTGGCAATTTATCTCAATGTATATTACTCAGTATTTTATTTAATGAATATATATCTGGTATTAAAGGATGCAATTCATCTGTAATACTTGAATCAAATTTGATTGGTGCTACATTCAATTCCAACATTTCCAGTTAATAATCAATTAATTAATCAATCCACCTATAATTTATATTACGCTCTTTGAATAAATACGTTCTATGAAATACTCAATATTTGTTTTATTTCAAAGTAAAAGCTAGAATTTTCAATCTTCTTTAATAAAAAATTCAACACTATTTTTATAATAATAATCAATATCATTAAAAGATTTAGTTATATATCCCACAGTGTGTTTCGAATAGCTTTTTAAGAAGCTTTTTCAAAGCTTAATATTGAAAAATGTGATGCTTACAACCGTGACGGAAGTACTGCTTCTAATCCGTAAGTGGTGTAGTTCAAACAACCTCTCCTTCTACTTATTTCTGTGCAGTAATTTTTTTTTTCGTTTAAACACGAAAAATTCTCGGCTAGGCGTTCACAGTTGAACGATTTTCTTCCAAATGATGAAGTACTCACATGTGACAATGTCCAGGTCAATCGTCTGAGGGTCTCCAAGTAATTTAAGACTTTAGGCCTGGTCATGGATTTTAGGTACGAGTGGCCAGCACATGTCTCACGTTAAAGCTTTATGTCATCCCATGAACCATCCGTTCTTCCGTTCTGTATATGTCATCAAAAACGTAGCGACTCATAAAACTCTCAAGTGAATACTAAAGATGTAATTTATTGCAAAAAAAATAAAACGCAACAACGTGAACGTTGATGTTCTGTGTAAAAGCAGGAGTAAATTTTTTATTTTAATTTAGCAATCAAAAGCAAAGTTCAGCCTGTTAACTTGATCGTCTTTGGTGAGGTCTCAAGTACCTTCTAAGAGTAGTATCATTGATTCTTCATGATCGCAAGATTACTGAGTTGATATCATCTGTTGGAGAATTTATACGTGCTTGGAAGGTTGCTAATGTCAAAGCCTTTGATGTAGAATTTGCTTTGCTTGAAAACCAAAATTATCGTTGGCCTCGATCATGTCTACCATGCGGGTTTTGACGTAAGTCCTACCACACCTTCAAAGTCTTCATCGCGTTAACGACTTCGTGTGGTGCACTGGATCTCTGACAGCCTGCAAAGATGGTGGATTAACGACTAGGTGCGCTATGACCCACCTGGGATAAACTGATCTCTTTGTGATGGCGTTATACTGTGTGATGTCGTTTCCTGGGGCGTTTGTTAAAGGGATAATAAAAAAGTTTGGCCCAATGACAAAGCAAGTAATTAAATCAAGTTTTTTTTTAATCTTATATTCTAATGAAAAATTCTTTTTACTTCAATTCAATTTTATCTCCACTCAAACTCTATTGTCAGCAATTTCGAAAGATTATTACGCTTCGAAATATTGGCATGTCAGATCTGTTGCCAAGATGACGAAAATCGATACTTGTTGTCTGTAGTACACAAAACAACAATTGAAAGATATGATTCCATTGGAGGGTGTACTCTGTAGTAGAACATAGCTTCGATGACACATGGCTTTTATGATATCGTCAAGTTCAATGAAATAAGTGGACAAAGTCAACTGTGCCTTCATTCTATCACTATATACCTGTGACGTACTGAAACTTAACCGAACTATCTCTTTTTGCGGATTTTAAACTAGAAGAGTGTATAAAAACAGTAGTTGGTCGAGAATGAAAGAGAAAAAATGAGAAAAATAAGTGGACTTCAACATAGTCTTGAAAGATCTACTCTGGTGCAGTAGTGAGTGTCGAAGAGATCGAAATAAAATCCCGAAAAAATGAGCTACCGAATAATGAATAATTGTACTGATACAGCCAATTCCCTTGGCAATCTTCCCACAAAATAAATGAATACGATGAGAGTTTGCTTTTAGACATATTGTTTATACAATATCTATGAGCTTCTGTGTTTTTCTATACTCTGGCGAATATAATACCTATATAATGCATTCGTGTTATTCTACTCTGGTATAAGATCTAATACAGCTTGAGCAAATACTGTACCAGACAGTGAAATAAATTCATCAAAATGACATGTATCATTTGTCATGTAGGCAACAACTCTTTTCACCACTTATTTATATACTGCTAATCATGCCTTTTTAAATCATATTATCATTTGTCTCATATACATTACCTAAATTATCCGCTTGTGCAGCTGCAAGTTGGAGACCGAGCATCAGGGACACCAGGAGTGCAGGCATGTTGGACACTAACTGATATTGGTATAGCCGCTTGCAACGTTTTGGAATTATCACCCAGACCCTCGGGTCCTATTCATCGCCCCACATTCAAGATCGTTACTCAAAATCTGCTGGACAAAAATCATGCTATAACATTAAAGTTGAATTAAATTAATATATGATTGATGATGTATCAATAAAAACACATATACATGCCACTGGTAGAAAATGCGGATAAAAACCGATGAACGATGAATTACACTTTACATTAGAATATAATTTTTTGTTGTTTATTGTCGATATTTCTAACGTGAAAGGTAGTTTTCACTAATTAAGGGTTGGAAAATATGAATAAAAGAATCAAACATAGTAATTAGTGCTAGTTCTGATTGTAAATCTGTATTGTGTGTATTGACCTGGTTTTTATGTAAGAAATGACGAGAATTTTTTTTAACTTTTTCAAATCTATGATGTAAATAATCAAAACTATGTAGTAAAAACCGAATAAAGTACAATGCACATGAATGTATTACTTATAAATTTTGAGCAAAACTACTGATCGGATTTTTTGTTAAATCCTACAGGGTCAATGGATTTAACGATATTTTTTTCTTTTTATTAAAAGCGTATTGATAATTTATATTTGCTTTCAGCAATTTAAATATTTAAGTTTAAAATAGTCTAAAATATTTCTGAATATAAGGTATTTGTGTCGTTGGATTTAAACTGGATTATGGCTTTAGGTAGGGATTAACAGATATAACAAATAATACTGTCAATCTTAGCTGAAATCTTAGTTAATTGTTACTAACAATTCAATACAGAAAATATTAAAAATGATAAGTATATATATATGCTTTTTTTAAACTAATGATTCATAAATTTTGTTTTATTTAATTATGTCTTGGTATGAACAATTTTTTTTATATTGTGTATTTGAAAACAAATAAATGCAAGAGAAAATTGTCATTAATTATTCAAAAATATTTCAGAACACTGAAATTGTTATAAAAAGTAATACATGTGCAATACATTATTCCAAATGTAAATAAGAGATGAAAATATTGTTTCACGAAAGGTGATATACATTGTTCTAATTAAAACTGTAAAAAGTATTGTTAAAAATTTTAATCAATTCGACTCGTTATAAATAAAATGTATTCAAAACAAACAAGCTCAATATACACCATACGAATGAGTGCAACTCTTCATCAACATTTTTATAAAGAAATTATTTTTAATAAAATAATGAATATATTAATGGCAGATTAATAATAGAGCAGTTTGTTATCTCGAAATATGATGAAGGTGAAAATTTTAGTACGATAATTTAATTTTTAGAAAATTTTAATAAATGATAGTAATTGGTCATTCAATACTTATAATGAAGTATATTTTTATTTAACTGGATATGGAAGTAAAGTAGATTGTCAATAAAAATTATAAACGATCAGAAAAGCTTTTATTTCTCTGGACAGAAAACTCAATACGGAATCGGATCAATTTTTATGATTTATAGATCATACATTACTCTTGTCAATTTGTAAAAAATGTATCAATGGTTTATTAATGAAACAACTATTAAAAATAAAAAAGAAAACTACAATTTTAAAATTGTCACAGATATTTCTCTTATAATAAACCAAGTTTTTTTCATAGACATTAGTGTAAATTGTTATTTGATCAAAAAATGTAAATCTGTTCTTAAATAAAACACGTTGACAAATATTTAAAACTTAAAATTTGTCGCTTATATAATAACTCAATGTCCACTAGCTCTTCAGTAAGCATAAAAAATGTATCTCCATCGGTAACACAAAGTCAAGCAAGCTCTCTCAACGTTGCATATTTCAAGTAACAAACAATTTTCGGAGAGTGCTAGAGTAATAAGGTCTACATGCACCCAATCATTTTAACAAGGTTTAGTGTATAATTTATTTCTTCTGTAGCAATTTTGTATAATTTTTGCTCGCCTTTGTAATATTATCTTCATAGTTTTTCAACACACTAACTGGTAAATATAATTATCTATTTTCGGAACTTAATTATTTAGATATATTTTTTACAAACATAATAAGGGAATCCAAAATAAGCTCTATTAGCTGACTGACTTACAAATTTCTTTTTATAAGGAATATCTGGTCAAAAGATATTTTCCTTTTTTTCAATCTAAGAAAATCATAATGCCAATTGGGTTAATTTAATGCAATATTAAAGTTTAGTGAAAAGAGTAAATCAAAAATGAACCAAACCCTTTTTATTTTTAATGCTGATTATTTATTATTAAAAATTCCTTTTATAAATCAGGATTTTTTTGTCTTGTCATACAGTATTTATGAGTGTTGAATAGGAGAATATTTTGCAATAGATACGTATTATAAAGTGATGAAGATAGGTTTTATGAAAGAACATAAATAATCATATTCTCATTCTATTATTCATAAAGCTCTGCAAGTGCGAAACTCTGAAGAATAATTCGTACCTTTATTCGTACTATAACACGTGTAAAATATTTTCTAGAGAACATTCAATTCGTTGATTCAATTATTAGAATAGTCCAATTCAATTTTCTTCATAATATTACTTGTTTTTATTTTTAATTGTAAATCAATTCACTGTATTCACTTTCTTTTCATCAAATAAATAAAACCAGATTCAAAACTAACACTTTTTTCATTCAAAGTATGAACAAAAAACCTCGATACTTTTTATGTACGATTCGCGGTCATGCTATACATAAGTTTTCAAGTCTTCTCTTAATTCTCGTTCAAATGAAATTTCCTTCACACACTCACTTTACATATGGTGCATGTATGTATTCAAATATTACACTAGAGTCACGTATCATCCGTCATGAAACAAATATGATTTTCGTACCAAGAAAGTAAACTCACAAATAAACATTAGAAATGAAGTTTACATAACAATCCCAAAGATATTACTTTGCCACTAGTAGGTTAAACAAAAACAAATGGGAAACATTGAATGTTTGACAATGAAATTCAAGTTTTCTAGTCATTTTCACCACTCAATTGTACAACGATATGTAAACATGATTAAATGATGTATTTGATCGTGATGTACAAAGATAAATAGTGTGATTAACAACGATCACATCTACACTATTCGGCGGCCGGTGAGGAACTGACTGTTGGGGCGCTTTACTACGCCGGATCTTTCAAACCTGGGTACGTGTGACGTCACATCTACTGTTGGGTACCAACGCGCTCTGTAACGAACGGAGCAGAATCAGAACTAACTTGATGCGTTTTTCACCCTACTTGTCTTCTACATTCGATTATCTATTTTTCCCAATGTGACTAAATTACACTCATAGAAATTCTACAAGAATAATGCTTTGAATATTATTAAGCAATTCAATAAAAGTGTCTGTTTTAATGAAATGTTGATCTTTTTGGTTAGAAAAACTCGTGCAATAAAGAAGTCGAAGGAGCTTTGTTCGGTAAGAATTCTCTATACTATTTTGAAATAAAAAATGACATCTACATCGCATTAAGTTTTATTGGACATCTAACATGTTGGAATGAGATTGGCATTTTTTGTTGATCTTTCAATAGTTCCACTTTCGTCTGGGATCATTGCATTTTGATGAGCTGGGAAACTAAGACTTTTGGATTGTTTATCAGGTGACTCTAGTGGAGGGAGCTAATCTCTACTCAGCCTATTTAAGAGATTATTGTAAATGTTGTTACTGTTGTGGAGGTAAGGAAAAAAAAAGTGATTTGTTCATTTATGATGGATTTTTGACACCATTGGATTAAAATCCCAGCTACTTGTGGTTTGACAGGGTTTCGATGTATGTTTTTACATCTTTATAATAATTATAGTTATTATAGTAGCTGGGATTTTTAATATATTAAAATTCAATCAATTTTTTTTAATAATAACCAGTAAATAAGAGAATTAAAAAAAAATGATTTTTGAGAGGAATACACCTCCAATAAAAACTAAGTTTCAATTGTTGACGTTTTACAAATGTAATATTTTTAATTGTTATTTGTTTTTGTTTTCAGAGCTTCAATAACTAGTACACTAATCAGAACAGGTATGATTGTTGAACTTTTGGATAAAAAAAATAAATTTCATCAACTAAATTCGGTATGGGTGTTTCGCGAAAAATACTCTAAGCTTTCAAATAATTTCATTTTTTATCGAGCCAAAATTGCTCAAAGGCAAAGTGCGTTTTTGCTATCAAAGTTTCAGACTACCTGAAAAATGATATGATGCTGAAATAATTATTGTCGAAGCGTTTCAAAAGTGTAAGAACTCTCGAAATAAGTCGATTAAATTTTGAAAAAAAAATATCGAGTTTACTATTATTTGAAAAAATGTGAAAAATTTCATTTTTGCTTTTTCATATTTAATTAAAAACAGCGAAAGTATATCTAGAACAATCAATGAAAATATTTAATAACATTCTTAATAGAGGATTTTAAAACATGCCAAATTATTCGAGTCATTTCAGTCTTGACAAAAAATGTCACAACGTCCTTGACCTAAAACCACATAATAATTTTTTTTCAGATAAATTATATATTACTAGATCTTAAAATGAAAATGAGTTTTGTTACTCTTTCTATTAAATTAATATTTAACGATGATTAATTTTTTTATAAAGATTTAAGACTAAATAATAGGCATATTCATAAAGAATGCAGTAAGTTTTAATTTATTAATTTTTAACTGTAAAAAATTCAACATCTATATAATTCTATCTAAGCTTCATAGAGCTGCTTGATCAGCATCCTACGCTTCAAGGCATTATATCTTTGATGAAGGCTTTTCAAAATCCTTGAACTTCCTGAAGATGATTCTTGAGTCATTGGGGATAATACATAATTGTACGTGAAAATTTAATGATTTTTATGGATAATAAAATCATTTTATCATTTTTATTTGCAATAATACTGCATAATAATGTGCAGTATGTCTTGAAATGTTGAAAGATGAATAAAAACTATTGTTGATTTAGGGTTTATCCACAAAAACACAAAACATAAAAGGTTATACATGGTTGTGATTGTTTTTGTTGACAATGATTATGAATATTAAAAATTATCCAATACAAATATTATAAGTAATATTAAATCGATGACCAGAAACTTGAAAATTATTCTTCAACATGTTCCAATTTTTGAGACGCATCAAAACTTATTTTGAATAATCTTATATCACAGAAACTTTCCGAAACTTTCTGGGAACACTCTGAATTGATAAAAAGTTTTGGAAATAATGTCTCGAAAATATATAAATGATTTTTGTGGATATTTAATACTAATAAAAAAAAGGTATTTTTAAAAAAAAGTAAATATAAAAATATTTGCTAGAAAGTGAATAGAAAAACGTTACCAGCTGATTCATAAAGAATAGAAATAAAAGCAACTCGATATGAGAATAATATTGCTAATCAGTTAATAAATGAAAATGAAACTCGACAGATATAACTGTCTCGATGCATAGATTTATAAAATGAAAAATACTTTTATGATGAATTATACAGGGAAGAAAAATTCTATCCTGCATAAAATTCGAATTTTTTTTTATTTTTATTTGCTCATAAAAACCATCAACAGTATCGTTGTAATATTATACTTATACATTTTTTTATATATAAAAAATGGTTGTTGAAGTTGATTATTTATAAATTTTATTCAAAAATATATATTTTCTCTACTTTTATATAACAAAAATATACTCTTATTTTTTATATTATTTTCTCTTGAATGAAAAAATAATAATTATAAAATTCATTGCAAACTGAATAATTCTTGTATATACTTTTCAAGGGAATATCAAAGTTAAAAGAAAATAAATGTAAAAATGATAAGTAGTAAGATTTTTCTTTGTCATTTAAATAAAATTGTGATGGTTTTTCTTAAAAAAATCTTTATCTGCTAGTACAATTACAGAAGTAACTTTCTTGTCTTTAAAATATAATTGCTAATTTCCTGCAAGATTCACATTTATTGATAAAATGATAATTATTGAATTTTCTTTCTTGCCAATAAAAGATAAAAAATATTATTTTCAAGAACATTATATAATATTTTATATAGTTTGTAACAGATTTGATAATTTGACCAAATCAGGAAAAAGTTCATCAAAATCTACTGTGATAAAAAAAATTTACAAAGATTTAGTGATTCAGGAGTCTTTTTACATATTTTTAAGGATAAGATATGCTTATATCGCAAGTGTCTCATGGTCAAATTTACCTTCTCATTTTTTTGTTCCTGAAATATCGAACTGAAAATCTAACTTTATAATTTATCAGTACATTGTTACTATAATAAGTCACTGAAAGATTAGAATCATCAAATATTATCATAGATAATTAATTACCACTAAATATAACTGTACTTATCAACAATCAGCTCAGTGTTGTAAGAAAAAAAAATTAATACTATTTAACGAAAAGTTAAAAGTATTTTTAAATAAGTACATTCATAACTGAGTCATTTAGTTATAAATAATAACATCAGTATTATAATCAGTATAATTCAAGTTGAATATCTTTATACAGTTGTAAAGGTCTTTTATTCAAGTTTTAAATAAAAGCTTTGAATGAAAAAAATATTTACTGATTCTTATTCACTATAAAAATAAAAATGAGTTCAAACTAAAAAATTAAATTATTTATTCAAGCGTTTATCATCTTGATCAGAATTATCAGAATGTATACAATTTGCACATGATAACAGACTTTTAACTGCAATCATTAATCTCCTATTCTCTATCAACTGTTAATGATTATAATTCTTACTAATATTATATTAATTATCTGAATTCATAAAACCCTATTTAGGAAAATGAATTATTCAACAGCAATAATCGGCAATCCAACTACTCTGAATGTGTAGTTCAATACAATAAATTATTCTATTTATTTCCATTTCTCATTCACTTTGTTTGATTACTCTGAGTGAAAATAAAAATTATATTTAATGTTTAATTAACTTTTGAACCCCAATGATTTCACCTGCTATTCGCTAAACTTAATTTTTTTTTGACCACCTATTGGATTGAAGTCCATGTAAATTATATATGCTACATCAGTTACAAATTAAATTCTCAACTAATAGATAGTAATCAAATGAAATTAAAGGTAATTCTATTGAAACAGTAATTATTTTTATTATACTTACTAAAAAATTAGATGATAAATTTTCTCATTGATTAATTGTTTTAATGTAATAGAATTGAATAGCAATTAACAAAAGATTTATCGTTTAGATATTGAGAAACGGATTTTTCTGCTGTTTAAAATTTTAATTTAACTGAAAGAAACAACAGATAAAGTTTCCATTGATTTTTTGCTCATTATTTTTTCCATAAAATAAGCATTAATTGAGGACAATCAAATTAACAACCGTAACTTTAACTGAAGTAGAAAAAAGCTTAGCATCTATAATGATTTCTGTTGGTCATGGAACCATATTTTTCAATTGAATTAAAATAACCCAAGTCAAAATATAACACTTATTTTCATCCTATTTTTATCCTAAGACTATCTTTTTTTAAGGTTTAACTTAAGATGAACAAATCCTAATTAAAATTGGACTACGCAACAAATCAGCGTTTTCGTAGGACGAAAATTCTTCAATTTCATCCTAAACTCATAGTAATTTTATCCTATCTTTATCCCAATTCTATTTTTCTTTTACCTTTGCCTCATTCTGGTTTTATTTCATACTTTACCTGGTTTCAATTTGATTTTATTTCAAACTCGAGTAATTTTATTTTGATAAAAACATTATTTTTTATGATTTTTAATATTATTTTAACTCTCATCCGACTCTCCATTAGCATTATTATTATAAGCATTAACATCATATGTATAATTAAAAAAGTCTGATTGTAATGAAAATTATTATAATACCAATCATGTTTATATTTGAAAGAACGGTTCCATTTCATTAATTATTAGGTTTTTTAACGAATTATTTATAGCAATATAATTATTAATAAATACAATTTTTGGAAAATTAATCCATTACATAAATCGTGACCTTATTCCTACTATTTTCGTAAGTACTACTAGATATGAGCAAATCAATTTATGAGGTTGAAATCAGGCTATTCTGTTCATATCCTAATTTTTATTAACTT